TATCGTGAAGGAGGGGTGAGCGAGGTTCAGGTCTGGATCGACTTCGGAGTGTGGGCGTTTGGTAGCGGGGTGGGTAACGGACCTGGTGGATGAGGTGGCCCGGTACGCGGCCTGTCCTATGGTTTCCATTGGCTGGACAGAGGCCTGTCCCAGTGGGGTGGGTTGCTGGTCCGAATCTTGTACCGAGGGTGCCGTTGGTCCGGTGGGTTGTGGGTGTGGTACTGTCCAGGTGCCCGGGGATGGTGGTGGGCTAGAGGGAGGCGTGGCCGAGCGTGGGTACATGTGAGATGTGCTTGGTTGTGCAGTGTGCCCATGGTGGAGACGGCTGAAGGCTTGGTCCGGCGGAATTTGTTGCTGAACGGTGCCAGATGGTCCTGGTGATGGGTGAGGTGATGGGTTTGCTGGGAGTGGGACGTTTGTGCGATTGTGTGCCCCAGGGTGGCGCGTAACTCTGGTGAGACATGGGACAGATGAGGTGGCGCGAAAACGCGTGGGCCATAGGGTGGTGCATGTGAGCGTTGTGGGGTCTGAGGTGCGGTTGGTTGTTAGCAGCCTGACAGTAGTCGGAGGAGGTGGAGAGGTAGTGGTAGGGGATGGTGTGAGACTGCTGGTCGGTATAGTGGTGGCCTGGGTAAGAATGGGATGTGCTGGAGTAGTGGGATGATGACGGGGAGCATGGGTGGCGAGTGCAGTATTGGGTGCACTGGCAAGGAGTGGCTGTGGTGGTAGGGGATGGGGAGTTTCTCTCGCGAGGTCCATGGGTCCTGTTGTGGTATCGGGTTTCTGTGTACGTCGCCATACCTCTGGGAGCGAGATTTGCGTGGAGGAGCTGCGTATGGTCTTGGTGGAGGTAGGTGTGGTTGGCTTGGTAGTGGACGGGGCTGGGCCATGGGCAGATTTGGAGGGCAGGGCCTGAGGTGGGGTAGTGGGCGGGGATGGCTTGCGAGCAGGTCGGGGACGGATGGGTTTGTCATCCTCAGAGAGGTATTGGGTTGGAGTTGCCGTGTGGTTGGTGTGCGTGTTGCTCAGCCTGGATGGGCGGGGTTGGCGTGTGAGAGGCCGCGTGGCGGCGCGAGTTGCCCGGATGCGATCCTGTCGGGCCAGGAATTTGTCTGCAGCTATTTTGGAACGTAGCTGGCGTGGGGTTAGTGGTGTGGCGGCAGGGGGCTGGTTCATTTCGGGTTCCGAATCCGGGTCAGAGGAGGATGAAGGGAGCGGAGCGCGTATTGTGCCGGTAGCTGGCACGAGGGTGGGCGTGGGTATCCCGTTCCGGGTGACGAGTACTGTAACCATGGGGGTTGTCGTTGACGCGGACGTAGCTAGGAGTGGTGGCCGTCCTGGGTCCGGCGGGGGAGGAGCCATGGTCGTGTTGGTGGGATGTGTGAGTTGTTTCTCGGGGCGCCGCGACCCACTTGTGGGTTACCAGGTATATTTGGGAATTACTTCATGGAGAGAAGTTCCAAGTCGTGGACTTGGTACGCCCGCTCAGCCGCGTGTAGTTGGCGGCTTTGGTAGGAAACTGGGCGAGGGCGACCGGAGGCGTCGAGCTGCATCAGGCAGCAGCCAATTGGAAACTGCGAAGCGTCGCAGACGACTGAAAAAGGTTTGTCGAAGTCCGGGAGCGCCAAGTTCAGGGGGCGCGTTGAAGGTTGCTTTTGAGGCCGTCGAAAGCATCTTGACATGCGGAATCCCAAAACCAAGGGGCGTCCTTGAGGAGAAGCCGAAACAACGGCTGGGCGATGTCCGCAAAGTTTTCCGAGTATTTGTGGAGGTACGTCGCAAGGCCCAGCCAGCGACCAAGAATCTTGACGGAGGAGGGAATAGGCCACTCCGAAATGGCCTTGATCTTTTCGGGATCAGCCCGACATCCGTTCACCCCCACCAAATCCCCCAGGACCGGGATTTCGTCGACGCCAAACATGCATTTGGCGAGGTTGGCATAGAGTCCGTTGGCACGGAGGACTTCAAACACCTAGCGGAGGTGGCCGCGGTGAACGTCAAGATCGGGCTGCTCGGCTTTGAACGTAAATGTCGTCGAAGTACGACGGTGCGAAGTCGCGAAACCCGAGGAACTTCGCGGTGACCATGCGGTTGAACGTCGCCGGGCGTTGGAGAGACCCTGTGGCATGACCAGCCACTCCCATAACATGCCACTCGGCGTAGAAACTGCCGTTTTAGGGACGTCACATAGATGCATCAGGATCTGGCAAAAGCCATCGCGGAGATCGATGGTGGAGAAAATGGTAGATCGACCCATGCCGTCGATAATATCGCCCTTGCGAGGAATCGGTGACTGCGCCGGAATCGTGGCTGCGTTCAATTTGTTAAATGCGTGGAGAATACGCCATTTCCCCGGGGCTTCTTCACACAGAAAGTCGGGCTGCTGTGAGGGGAAATGCACTCGTGGACCTGACCCGCCAGTCACCACGGCACCTCATCGGGGAATACGTCCACAAACTCTTTGAGGAGGTCGTAATAGGGGTTGGATCGGAGGGAGTCCCACGTGTGGGACTTTAGAGGAGCGGCGAGGACCGAATCATCTGTGGTCGAGGTCGAAAGAGATCCGTCTCTTCTTCGACAGTGATCATCGCCAAGGCGGCGATATCGTGGGCGCGGAGAGATTCCACGAGCGAGTCTCTGGCAGTACCAGGACCTCGGAAGACGTCTGAAGGAGTTCATTCAAGTTACACGTTTCTTTGATAAACGTGGCCGCCAAGGTCGAGGCAGCTATCACCCCCGATAGCATAACAACAGAGGGCGACTCTGTTGGGGGAACGAAGATGTGTTGTGCAGCACCGTGGCTGGGTCCGGGAGGACCGAGGGTGCTGGGGTCAGTGAGCTCACTGCGGGCCTGGGAGAGGCGTGATCATTACTCATCGCCTTTAACGGAGGGCCAAGCGGGTTGGTGGTGGACAGGGGAAGGCTATCGGCTGCCCGCCGATGGATCCAAGGTTGGCTCGCGTTAAGCCAAGTAACCTTGTGCACGGATTTGGCCTTCCAGTCAATCCATGGCTGGTGGGACTCCAGCCAGGACATTCCGATGATGAGATCCCATCTCTCATCGACGTCGATAACATAAAACGTTTCGATCGAGTCGAAACCGTCGAAGGTGATGGGAACGTCGACGATTATGCGTGGTGGAGACGCAGTGTGGCCGTCGGCCATCTTGACGCGAATCTTGTCAGAGGAATCCGAAGAGGGTAAGCGATTGAAGCGAGAGAGAGTGGAGCGGCTGGCGCAGTTGTTCGACGCCCCACAATCGATTAAAGCAGAGAGCCTGGCCGGGAAGCCAGGCATAACAAGTTCCAAACAAATCATTTTGTTCGGTTGGAGCCCAACACGTCACAGAAGGTCTGTGTCCGACGCTAGGTCCTGAGAGTGTGTCAGCGCGCCACACACCTCTAATGGACCTAGGGTATCCCCAGTAGGTCGCCTCGCGCATACTGGGAATGACCGTTTCCCGCCGCACTCGAGCTCGGAGCGGGGTGGAAAGGCGGACGTGAGCCGCCATGGCGTTCGCGATTGAAGCGGTTAGGTGGATAGCTCGGAGGGCGACGCGAAGGGGTATCAGGCACGGCACGGGAGGAACCGTAACTGTCCAGCGCGACCGCAATTTAAACACCGCTGACTTGTAAAAGCCAGCGGAGGAGTTTGTCAGACTCCGCTCCGCCGAATTTGGCAATATCCAGCTTGATCGACTTCAGACGAGAAGTCGATGGCGTTTGCGACTCGACTCTAAGGCGCGCATGATGAGGAGCGCAATCTCATCGTGAGCGATGCGCAGAGAATCTTGGAGGGTACGACCATGTGTCGTCATGGTGGACGCTTCCTCTTCTAAGTTCGCGATTTTCTCGCGAGTGACGCGAAGAGAATCTTCAAGGTTTTGCCCGTGCGAAGACATTTGAGTGACTTGTTCTTCCAATGCCTTCTGGGCGACCGTAGCTTCGGCGACCGAGAGATCAATCGTGCTACCGATGCCTTCCACAAGGCGTGTTTGGTTATCGGGAGTCATCCCGCCAAGGAGTAGCGCGATATCCTTGTCGCCAAAACCGCGACTCAAAAGGGCGAGGACCGCCTGGTGGGCTGCGGTGTTGGTGGAGGACATAGTGTTGGTCGACTGGACGAACGTGGAGTGCTACCAACTGTGAGCGTGCGCAGAGGAAGTCGCAGGAGATGGTAGAATCAAGAATGAATTGATAGCTTTAAGACTACTACGCTATCACTAAGCTACGCGCAACCCAAGCATTCGCGGAGGGTCTCTAGCTACCTCTACCTGCATGAGCCGTCGGCCGATTCTTCGCCGCTCATGTGGGAGGGGTGATCCCAACACGGGATTCCGAGTCCCGTGAACACGGAGCGCATCCGGATTTCGGATAAGTTAGCCAATCAGAAAATAGTTTTTCCGTGTTGAAACGTTCAGTGAAATTGCCCGAACAGATTAGCCAAACCACGCGAATTTTGGACGTTTATAGCGAATTCACTTGTACTCTGCGTTAAGACATAGCTTCTGTACGATTGAAAGGCAACTTGCTGTCTCATGATTCAATACAAGGCATCATATATCGTATAATTACTCCAAATACTGTGGGCGGTTTGTGGATTTTCAAAAATCTAGCTCGATGTACCTTTGAAATATGATATTCAATCAAGTTTATGAGGTTTAGCTCTGAACCTTGACATTATTCTTTTTAGCCAATCATAATGATTTTTGCTCGATTAACAGAGTACAATATGGAAACTTTGGGGTGAAAAACATCACAATACTACTAGTAACTACTTACAGTATGTACATATCTGGGACCAAACGTCCAATATATTAATAGGACTCATCATCCTATGGCTTTTAACGTGAATAGTACTATTAATAGTATCAGTATATCATTCATCTACGCCACAGTTAACCTGTCTTGACTTAGGCACCCCCGACGAACAATACACACTTCCGATGCCTGGTCACAGCATATGGTCTTGCCATCGGCGATTCCGCATGCGATGGCCGCGCGGCCGCATACGGACGCCGCCGCGTTCCAGTGCACAGTGCGATCTGGAAGCTCCATATGCATCGACATCACGTCTACTTGTTAGCTAGTTAGTTACCCAAGAAATATATATATATTATAGTCTTGTTTGGTTTTGAACAAATATTAGGCACATGATATAGATATATAGATAGATGATATTGATTGGATTATTGTACGTACTTGGAAGGGGTACCGCGGCTTTGTTGGCTTGGACAAGGGGGTTGATCACATTGAACCTTGCCACATAATAGATACATGTGATTTTTAAATATATATTATCATCCAGTATATATATATATATATTCTAGTATGTAAGGAACATATAAAGTAGCAAGAGCATCAACGTACCAGTCGTTGAAACTCCAGGCACTGTCAGCATTGTTGTAATGAACACCGTTGAGGTAATACATGGGGGTGCCGGCGACGCCTACAGTATAATATATATATATTTAATTCGAGCACGATATATATGAGAAGTAGCATTTCATACTCGTACGATATATTTATATATATATATATACGGTTGTATAGAGAAGTATCGATAACGTTATTGGAAACTTGAAACGAGCCATACATACTGTATGGGAGTATATACAGAATAGAGATGAAAAAAATATATATATTTCTCTATCGAAACCCAATCGTAATATCTTGATATATACTTCGAGTATAATATATGTCGTATACACATATATTATATATATCAGTGTGGACAAGCTAATATATACATTCATCCCCAAGGAGAAAGTACCATACCATGAGCCAACGTGTACCGGAACAGTTGTCGGGTTTTCTCGTCCTCGGCCGTGCCAGGCAGGAGTGTCTTGCGGAACGAAGCGACGTCAATCGAAGGGAACGCCGCATGTGCCCATGATGCGAGTTGGGTGATGAGGTCGTTGGGGGTCGTGTTGAGGGTGTTGGTGTTGGACAGCTTGTCTTGGTTGGCGTAGATCGTTTCCAGCCACGGCACGAAGCTCTGGACGCCGACTGAGTGCACCTACGTCGGTATACATGTCGGACGGCGTGATGATGTCAACGATCATTTTACCACGGACACGGTGGACTGAGCAGCGAGGAACGCGTTGCGATGGAAGGGAAGGGGCAGCACTTGGAACGTAAGGCGGAAGTCCTTGCCTTCGAACGCATCCCCGAGTTGTTTCAGCGCGGGGTACGCGGCTTTGCTGTATGGACACAACTACGACAGGGTCCATGAGATCGTCGGGAAGAATGATGGCAGTTGTACCAGGTCGATGAACACTTGCAGCTGCACGGGAGCTTGCGGCAGGCCGTCTTTGTACGTGAAACCAGGTGTCGTCGTAGGGATATCTCCCACGGAGCTACTCGGGAGCATGGCGAGCACGACGAAGATGGCCGCGCGGAACAGTAGTCCCATCATGATGATTTGCAGTCGGTAGGTTTACGAACTACCGTATCCGGATAAACTACACCCCTGAAAATATATACTACTAGTAGTACTTAAGTAGTACATTTAATAGTGGATTGCACGACGGATGATATTATCCGGATAGATTTATGATGCTACATGTATTTTATATGCAAATCCAGTAAATCTATGAGCCAACACATCACATAGCTTCTTAAGCTTCCATGTCACCCACGTCAAGACCGTAGAACAAACTATAGCTGGAAGAAGATTATACCCATGAATTCACATGTATATCGATGATTTATGGCGACTTGCGATTTACTTGAAATTCAGTTAAAAGTGAAATAGATGGAACATCGTTCGATGTATAATGTACTACGTATGGTGCATTTCAACTAAAGACTACAAAAAAATGCATTATCTTTCGACAGCTATTCCAACTTTGTATTGATATTTTTTAGGAAAATAAGCCGTAATAACGATAGAACTGGTCAAGACCAACAGAAGTTACGGTTCAAAATTTCGATTAGTGAAAAAGTAATAGAATTTAAACCAACCAGCCTTTTTGTATGGAAATATATGGAGCCAGGCACATTTTAGCCGAAAAGGAGCATCAAGTATATCTTGGTCTTTGTATTCAGCACTTATCCGTATGAACGTTTCCATTGTATCCGGATTATTCAGGATGTTTAACCTATTTACCAGATAAAACCAACGTAAGTAAAAATAATTTAACGTCAACATTACGTGGGTTTAACTGACATAACCGAGGCGTTTAATAGTAAAACGTCTCCTCCTGAGGATGGCCGATCTGTAGTCTTTAGATGAAATGCACCATACACTGTAGTACTCCTGGAGTATTACAGAACATCAAAGTACATGTACATACGTACTCCCGGAGTAGATCATTCACTGTCAACCTATTTTTTGCATGCTCTCGAATCTTCGGGGGGCTTTCCCATGTACTGTACTACGTACCAGGTAGTACTACAGTACTTCGAATAAGTATTACTATTTATATGGATTTCAAATATCCGTGATAGTATCATGTGTCATCCAAACGTCATCCAACATTAATATTAGGTCATATCCTAATTAGTAGAGATGAGAGTAAATTAGGATTATGCTAGGTCATTGCATACAGGCCTCGTCCGGGAGCGGCACGGCCTACGGCCTACCTGCCGCTGCCCGACAAGAAGAAAAGATAGATCATTCGGTGAAGTGAGAAGCTTAGATCCGCGCTCTCGTACGGCCGCGCTTGCGCAGACGGCCTCCCGGGCGCTCGGGGCCAACGTAAGGCTTGGTCACTAAATT